CTTACAGTTTCAAATCTATTAAATTCTGACATCCTCCTTCTTCAGCCTTCACTTGTCATGATCACGGTGCCACAGTACTTCAGTATGCACCAAAACATCAACTGCTAATTTCTGGAGGTAGGAAGGGATACATCTGCATCTTTGACATCAGACAGAGGCAAATCCTTTACACCTTCCAAGCACATGAATCAGCTGTTAAGGCCCTTGCACTGGATCCCTCTGAGGACTATTTTGTTACAGGCTCAGCAGAAGGTAACATGAAGGTAAGGTATCGAAGGAGCTGAGTTGTATAGGAGAGTATTTAGCTGAAGTAGTGTGTTGACATATGTTGATCAGCATACTGTAAATAGCCAGATGAATGCGGTACCAAAACAAAAGTAAACCCAAAAAACCCAAACCTACATTTGATATACAGGATGCTTGCCTTAATGTTTATAATGTAAACTTAAATATGCTAACATCCTTCTAAAGCAAGTAGGTTTTGTTCTCCGTTAAAGAAGCTTAAACAGTCTTTTTAAAGTTGTGTGACTGAAGTTTAAGTGGACAAAGCAAAGTGCATGATCTCAAATCTTAGCTTTATTTTTCTCTCTTAAAAATGTTCTGGTTTTGCCTTTGGATATTGCTCTTTGTAATACAAGGGGCGCTCAGTAGCTTCAACATCATGTAAAGTTTCTGTAACACCAAGTTCTGTTTTTTCTCTTAATGCTGTAGCCCCAGACAGCTACAACAAAAACCCAAAACCCTGTTTTAAAGGGCTTATTTCTTGAATACTAAAGGAATGAAATACAAGAACATGGTAAAGAGAAGGAGAATACAGTTTCTTTCCTTTTAGCTGGACTACATACTGTTTAATAGGTGCTTTCTGTGCCTCCACACACTTCGTGGCCTGGTCTTGATGATGACTCCTGCAACTTAGGACACAACAGACAGCTTAGACAGCTGTGCTACCACTCTGCATGCTTATTAATTATGCAGCTTACTCTGTGCAGCATTCCTTAGCAGAAAAGCATTTCCAGCTGCTGGAAAGCTGACAATAGACATCTTGGATAGAAACGCAACCTGTCCATTTCTGCAGCTTTCATGTGGGGGAAGCTGGGAGGGGCACTACTGATCAGGTAACACAGAGTAGCTTCACCCTGCTGAGTAACCAGCTTGTCCACATTAAGGTAGCCTTACTCTGTCTTGCCTTATGCTTCATCAGGAGCCTCTCAAGACTCTTGGACTTCTTGTAATTGTTGCTAATACACAACAAAAAATACCCTTTATCTTTGCTGAATAGGGTTTAGAACAGCCAGAAATCTGAAACATTAGGGAAAAAAATACAAATCCTAATTTTAATCTCCTTTTGTCATTTGTCATTCTTTTGATACAGGTGTGGAGACTGACTGGCTATAATTTAATTCATTCATTTAAAAATGAACATGCTAAGCAGTCCATTTTCAGAAATATTGGTGCTGGTGTCACCCAGATTGAAACTGTGCAAGGCAATCGTATCTTCTCCTGTGGAGCAGATGGCACGCTGAAAATGAGGGTTCTTCCCAATGCTTTCAATGTACCTTCAGGCATTTTTGACATTCTGTAGTGGTATGTGAGGTAATCCTGTTTTTATATAATGTCCCTTTAAGTAGCTAAAAACACAGTGATATGCACTGTGGAAAGGAAATATTCTGTTTCCTTTCAAAGCAGTTACTGCAGCATTAAGTATTATGGGGAAAAAGATTTAAAAAAAAGACAAAAAACCCCCCAACTTTTACAATACATATATTTTGAGTGTGTCCATAAGGATCACTGGGGTGGAAATGCATGTACTGTATTGTAAAAGCAAAGAATTAAACACAGTACAGCCAGTCATAGGTGAGGTTATTGCTCAGTAACCCACAAGCTGCATTTAGTAAGTGTATTGTAAAGATTCTGACAATTGTCAGCACTTAACAAGCACTGTGGCTCTACAACTCAGTAAGCATTTCTGATGTGATTCTGATTATTTTTATTCCAGTTTTTCCCACTAATTGAAGCATGTGTACAACTTCTCATTGTAAAATAGTTTAGTTTTAATTAGGGGTACTCAGTGTATTTGATTTTTGCAAGAAAGTGTAATGGATGCAAATGCCGTGGAACATGTGCAATCAAGAACGTACTGTGAGATGTATCATTTTATGCTGAGATTTTTTCCCAGTTAGTATTAATACACAGTTGATACTGTAACTTGCACATCAACACATTTTGAAATGCGATGTTTTTTAATTTGCACACTATTTTCCTTTCTATGTTTTCTATTGGACACCTGCCTTTACTTTAGGAATGTATTGTAAGCACTAAATGTTTGTAGTGAAGACATCCATGATTCTAGTCAGCTTTCAGTTTTGAAATTTATTTGTCCAGAAAATACTTCACTAAATGAAGCTGTTAAGAGAATATAAATAGAACGTATAATGCCACATTTCAGATGAATGTCAGGCTTTATGTGGCCAGCTAGTAAATAGTGGATAAAACTGGTAATTAAATTATTACCACAGTATATTGTATAAACTATGCAGAGTTCAATATTGTTTGCTTGTAATATAACTAGCTGCTGTTGTCAGATGTATTTTTCTGTTGTAAACAAAAACCATGTTCTTAAGAGACTGGAACCGATGTCTGCGTATTTAAATGTTAACAAACTGTCTTATTCCTCTGATGAAAATTTTGATGTCTGTGCTGTATTGTAAAATACACTAGAATAAAAAGCACCTTTCTCCAAAGGTGATTTTAAATTGCAGGCTGTGAAGTATGGGAAGTATGAAAAGAAAGAAGAGTAAATGTCATTGTTTAGTTTTCCCTTTGTAAGTTAAATAAATTACTTTTATTTCATGGAACAGGCCAGTCCAGAACTCTTCCTTATACTTTAATAGGTTTAACTAAAGCTCCAGTAGATTGACTGGATCGTGCCTGAGCTAGCTTTAACTTGACCTCAGACTGTACCGAGATAAAAAGGATTAGCTGTTTGCATTTTATTTTCAGCTGTCCTAGAAAAGCACAAGGTTAACAGAATTTAGTTCATCATCTCCAACAAAGGCAGCTGCAAGAAACACAGCCTGGTTCTGTCACTGAGAGGCAGAATTTGCTGGCCCTCCTTCTCCAACAGGTTGATCTGAGTGGTTCAACAATGACAGTCAGAAATTTAACATGATTTAAGATAGGCACATTATCTAGAAATTGTCACGTCTGGCTTGAACTGTATTTGTCTAAGTATATTGCCAAGCTTTTTTTTTTTTTAAGCCAAAAGGTCTACTTTATTAGTACCATAATTCAATTTTTTAAAAAACCACCTCCAACAAAAAAACCCCAAAAACCTACCAACCAAAAAAAAAAACCTACATCCCACAAAAATCAAAAGAAGCCCACATACACAAAAAAGCTCTGGTCTGTGAAGTTCTGCGCTCTTTATAGGTATAGATAGAATTCTTGGTATATGAGTTTTGATGTGTATACCAGTTCAAAGGATTAATTATGCTGTTTTGTTTCCCTCTGCAGCTCTCTCCTTAGCATGCAAGGCCTGAATCCAGGCTTTAGTGAAACCAGCAAGTATGCTGAGAAGAGAGGATGCAGCCCAGGCCCAACCATCACTGTATCACACACTGAAGCTCAGCTGTAGCACATTTGCTAGACAAGGTTCTGCAGGCACAGACATTCCCAAATTCATTAATCCCTTTGATGGTGCCTGGATGTCACATAGGTATTAAACAGCTCAGTGCAGTTCAGGGTTTAAGTGATACTTTGCTTCTAAATATTTGTATGAGCTCTGTGAACTTTACCAATATACACAGGCAGTTTAGAAATTCAGGTAGGGGTTTTCTCAGAGTGTGATTTTTTAATTTAGATACACAAAGCAACAGTAGGGATTTATGTTTCAATGTTAAATTTAGAAATATGAAATACCAGAACAAAATTAAAATCAGAGAGTTCCTATTATTTCTCACCTCTAGCTCTCAAATGTTTGAATGTGAGTGGGCAATCTCTGAATTAAGATTAACAACAAATTAAGTCACTATGCCTATGATGAACACATGCATTCCTGTTCCAGCTATTTTATTTTTCTAAGAATAGCAGCAAAAAAGTATACCCTTCATTTTATGATTTCATTTGTACAGATGAATGCGGGGAAAATTTTTTTTAGAAATATACCTTACTATAATTAAGTATAGTTATAAGCAAGTTACAGTGGTATAGTTTACATGGCAGTGAGGGGCAAGGAAGAGTCTGCAGCAAGACAAGCAACTCAAGCACTGTTAAAAAGGGAATTTTAATCATAACTTTTACATCTTTTCTTCAATTTTATACCTCGTTACTTTTTTTCCCATGCTCCATTTAACTAAATACAATTTAATGTATATTCAATATTTAATAATGCAATTATTCCCATTTTCCTTGTACTTGGGCTGGAATTTGCTTTTGAATATGTAACAGTTGACTGGACTTGTCAAATTTGAAGCTTTCTGCTTTTTCTCTATTTAAACAACTATTTCCATCCCCATTATTTTTAACAGCTGTATATCTTTGTCCCAAAAAAAAGGTTCACAGAGAATCAGTGGAAAGTATTAAGTGAAAAAGGTATTTGTACACAGAAGTTCCTTATATAGACATTTATACTAGACCATAATCACTGACTAGAAAATTATTGCAGGTAAGATGATTGCATCTGAAATTTATAAATAGTCTCTGCTGAGCACATGACCATGGAATAATCAATGTACATTGATATAATTATTAGCTGAAAACGGGAAAAACAAAAGCAAGTCTGTGCTAACTGAGTGCCAGCTGCAATATTGAACAGCTGTTCTTTTAAAAAGATGAGAATGGCCTATATAATTGAAGTCTGTTTGTACAAATCTCCCTTTTATGCACACTCACAAACCACCATCAGTGAACAGAAAATTATACCAAGTGAAGAGACCCCCATGTGTATATCATATAGCTTTAAATAATCTATTTAGTCAAACGTGGCTGCCATACATGACATGTTAAAATATATTCATCTGCCAAAATGTACAGGATATACCATTAAACTCCCATTCTCCCAGGTATACAAATTCTTATCTCTTAGACTGTATGAAAGCATAGCAAGAACAGATTGTGAAGACCGTAACTCAAACCTTGCATCAATCTGCTTCTCTTTCAATAAATCAAAAGCAAAACTTACTGTCATATCTTTAGTATCAGTAACATACATAATGCCACATGCTATGAATGCGTTACCAGCCTTGGACTTAGGATATGTAGTATTGATATGCCGAATGACTGAAAATGTTTCTTCATCAATATGTGCTACTATTATATTTTCATCAGTGCTTGAGGCATATATAATCCAAAGACCCTTCTCATCCACTGCTACGTTGAAATATGTCTTCGAGTTAGAAAAGAGGTAGTTACGACCATGATATAAGGCATTTTCAATTAGCAGTGTGCCCAACGATGCTTTATCAAGCCCAAATCTGAAATGAGATAAAGGAAGTTTTCAGTATGCTCTGTTAAAAATTCATTTTTATACACACTAGTCTGTTGAATCAATTCGGAGTGCATTATTACTGATAGAAGCATTGTTGAAAATACTTGAGTTCAAGGACCATTCTGATGTCTTTTATGATGAAGTAGTCCACTCAAACCACCTTCCAAAACACTAGGAGAAAATTCCAAAGTAATAACCAATCTAAAAGGTGCACAAGAGCATGAACTTGCTTTGGTAGGTTTCACTTTATTTAGTCTATGACCTTCATTATCACTAGGATGAAAGAAGCAACTAAAAGGAATGGGTATGAAAAAGAACTAGATAACAGGTGAAGGCCCCAACTTGTGAAATGAAATCTGTACAGAAGTTTGCTTTCTACTAGGTGGGAACTAAGGGGAGAAAATGTGATTGACCAAACCAGCATGAATTCTGGGCAGTCTTAAGAGTTCCTCTTTTGAAAACAGTTCAGATAATGCAGTGATTTGCTCAAGTAAACATCAAAGGAATAAAAAATTTACTTTTACAGAGCCAACATTTTGACCTCAAGCTGGCTCCAACAGGACAGCCTGAATGTCTCATCTCTGATGTATAAAATTGTTTTTATTCCTTGAAATTCCTTAATACGATGATAATCTGAGGATAGCGGCATTGAGCAGCTAAATTGAGTTCCTCTACTAGTTTAAGACGGTAATCAGCTACTATCAAGACTTGTTTGCGGTTAGCATTTAATCACTGAATAACACAGTGCTTCAGCAAAGGCAGAGAATATGCTTTATCCTTCTAAGTAATGCCTTCTGTAATGAAGCACATTTCATCGTCTAACTTCTATCTAACTGTACAGCTCCATTCCTCAAACAGAGGAAAAACACTTCTCAATACAGGAATCTGCTACAGTTACAAAAGTTTTCTGAAGAGACAGGCTTAATGACAGGAACATTTCAGATCTAGGAACTTAAAATAGAAGGAAAAATACTGGAAGAATAATTTTTCTGTGGAAGAGATGTTGAAAGCATATACTGGAAAATCATCATCCTAAGAAAAGTCAAGAATGAGATCAATGATTCCCCTCGGCTTTTTCAAAACTCATGTCTGCAGCAGCTCCATATTCCAGTAGCATGTATGTGCAACTAAAAAAAGGCTTCAAGGCTGAAGAAGATTTCTGAGAAACATGTGTCAACCAGTTAATCTTGTTAGTTGCTTCACAATTGTAAATAACCTCATGCAAGGGCTAGAAGGACAGCCCTTAGCAGGAATAGTCACACAGAAATGCAGATTTTCTTCAGGATTTTTTTCTATAAAGAGCCAACAAGATAAAAAGCATCTCAAGATTCATTAGAAATGTGCAAGATCTGCAACACAGAACACCCTGTCTTTTCCTCTTTTATGTGAAAGTCCTGAAGGGAGCAGAAAAGTGAGGTTTCATTCCTGAGGTTCTCTTCTACTCCCCAGTCAAGGACACCTAAAACACCAAATGGTTCAGAAATTCCTTAATCTTCTGGCACCTTGGGGTAAATAACAAGATATAGTGTAATATTTTCATCAACCGCAGGGAACTCAAGCTACAAACACTTTTCTGATCGCTAAGATGAATGAAATCAATCAAAAAGAACAGAGGTGGGAAAGCATGTTATGAAACGAAGAAAGGATGAAGCAATCATAATGTCAGCGATCTGACCATCATGAGAAAACCTGCCAAAAGGTCATACAAACTTAGTTTTACCAGCTTTCAAATACGACAGGAAACTCCTTTTAAGTATTTTTTTCAGTATTTGCAAAATGAACCAACCAGGTCCTCACCTGTTCTTTCCATTAAATCAATACAAAAACTCCCAGAAGCTTTTCTGCAGCGCAAAATCAAGGACTTCACTGTCAGAGAATTCATAGTGCCTCATTCTGTCTGTGCTGAAGGTAAATAATCTTAGAGTGAATAACTGAACAGAAAGGCCATCTCTCAGCAACTTCTTAGAGAGGTTTTGAAAATTCCACAAATAGCTTGTGTTCATCTGTACGTGAGGCCATTTCCCAATTATCGGTACCCAAGCAAAGGTGAGGAACCTCTGTCCTATCACTGTGTATTGCTTAGACAGAGATGGTCTTTCACAGATGCATCAACAAAAAGCCCTAAAGATATTTAAAGGAGGTTGCCAAAAAGCAGGCTTGTCTTTGGCAGAATAAATATTATAGAATCCAAGCAGGATCCTTGCTCACATTCCTTGGCATGCAAATGAATATAGGAAGGCTGCACTCACACCTGCTTGGGAATAGACATCAAAGTATAGTAATGTTCTTGGCTCAAACATCAGAGTCATGTAAGAGAACTTGAAAGCAGATGCAATCTTTCACTTGCCCTTGGACTGTCTGTCTTTGGCTCTTTGCGCAAATGAGATTTTGTTTTTGTTTTGTATTGTCTGTCTCTGTCCTCAGTAGAAACTGAAGAAATAGAGATGTAATTTCCAGTTCCAATTCAGGGAGATACATTGGGAGAGTTGTAGGAACTTCTTATTACAAGGAAACCAAACAGCGGAGCCACTCCTCCACAATGGAATGTGCAATTCACCAGGTCGCCATGTCCTCAGCTGGTGCCTTAGTGCATTCCTCTGCACTAGCAGCATTAACTCAGCCCCTACCAGCTAAGAACAGTGCTATCCGAGAGCAAAGCGTGTGCATCAACCCAGCAAGAAGCTCTGGAAAGCCGAGTTCCACAAGTGGGCTACAATCATATAACCATTCATCTGTGTCCCCCAAACTGCAGCTGAACCAATTCTTACTCTGATGCAGGTAGATGCACAGCTTATTCTTTTAAATCAAATACTTTTTTCTGACCCCCAAATTCCTTGCTCAGTTCCCTTTTCTTTCTCGCCATTATGAACACAGCAAAGAATCCAAGTGCAAGAACACCCACAGCAATGTAATGTATAATAGAAACCCACTGGACCCCAGGATAGCCAAAAGAAAAATTTGTTGTCACCTCTGCACATGGCTTCTTGTTAATCTGGAGGCCCAGTTGTCCTATCATGTAGTAACTACTCAGGTTAACCACTTAGACACAGAGCTGAACAATGCTTAAAGAACTGACTGTCACAGCAGAATAATGGACCTAGACTACCTTCCCAGTTCCTCTCCTCCCACAGCATCTGCACATGCAGATGGAAGGCCAGTCAGTGGCCCACGTTCTAGTTACAGATTGGAAAGAATTAGTTGTTCTGTTCTGGAAAGAATTCTGAACTATTCCCCCATTCTTCCTATTCTAGATAGGACCAAAAAGAAACATAAAATGGTACAAGGAAAGTGGTTTGCTTTTCTGAGGTTCACCTCTGTCACTCTAACCCATTGCTCCTCCCTCCACAACATCACTTGCCTTAAGCCAACTATGTTTGACTTACTTCAGAATGACATTGGTTCCTCCCTTTTGATAGTACAGGTGATTGTTTTGTACTGCATGACCACATCCATAAAAGAATCCTGTGATGTTAATGATCCTGTAGCTGTCATTCAGCAAGGCGTTGGAATTCTCATATTCTTTTATAGAGTTTCCTAAACGAAGGGGAAAACATGAAAATAAGGACTATCATTTGGTTCACCTAATTTTGAAATCTCTACCCGAAAATTCAATCTCCATTGAAAGTCAATCTCAATCAAATATCTGACAGACAACAATTGTATTTGTGTTTTCGATAGTGATTCAACTTGCTGGAATGTGATAAAATAATCCAGAGACAAACACCAAAAAAAATATAGAGAGGTGGTGTTCAAGGGCCTGCTTCCCACAGACCTGATGGGCCCTAATTCTGAACTCAGTTGGTAAATATACAGAAAATATTTCCTTTTTCCATTTATGTCCTGGAAATTTTCCTGCACTAAATGTAGCTTATGCAGCATCTGATTCATTTTCATGCCTACCTAAATAAAAAGGCAAAACTCTTAGCTCCAATTTAGGGAAGTAAAGCCGTAGTAAACTGTTGAAAGAAAAGAATAAAAAGGCATGAACAACAGGCATTTAAACTTGGATTGGCTAAAAAAACCTAAAATCCTCAAACTACTTTCAAAATCTGATGTTGACTCTGAAAATGTCTGAAGATACTACAAATGTCTATAACCATATGTATATGTATAGTCAAGTATTATACAGGTAATATGGAAAATATTATGAAAAATATGTGGGTAAAAAAAACATCAGACTTGATTAGAAATATTAATTTAGGTTGAAGGAATTAAGAAAGCAATGTTAGTATAACAACTGATTTTTGAGCAGTGACTACTACTAGTGTACCTGAAAAATGCATGGTAAGCCAAATCCTTTCATCGCTGATATTTGCAGGTTCCCGCATCCAAGTTCCAAACGTTTGCTGTACACTGACAAAGTGAACAGGGCTTCCAACAGACGTTATGACACATTCTAGTAGAGAAAAAGCACATGTCCGTTACCTGTGACATTAAACCAGTAAGTAGCAGTTAGTGATGCCCTGTAGCAGGTTACCAGGTTTTTTTGAAGGAGCAGGGGTTCTGTCTTCAGCTTTTCCAGCCAGGGTGTCATCATTCGGTACAGCACACGTCTCACCTGGAGTTGAGAGAGAAAGGGTACAACATGTCATTCTTCTATGTCTGACATGACAGATGTGCACATCAGTGACTCCACTAAAATAAAGGAATGACAACTGGGATTTTGTTTCATCTGGGAAAAAAAGCTTAGGTTGGTCTGGTCAAAAAATGAGATAAAAAAGACTTGCTCTCACTTCTGCCAAGGAAATGAAGTGTTGGGGCTGGTTTGTTTCCTTAAAGTTGTCAGGCTGACAGTCATCTGAGGAGTAACTAATTTTGCTCCACAGATTTAGTTCTTTAACTGTGAATTTCTGAGTAGCGGCTTAAAAAGACAGAGTTGCCCCTTTCCTTAGATAACTTTAGACAACTGAGATTGCTGGCAGCTGGCTGGTTTAGCAGTACTACCAAAAATGCTTTCTTGGAAATGAGTGATGGCTAAACTCAAAAGCTTCATGCCCAAATCTACATACACCAGCAGAGGGGGTGTATTCTGCAGGCAACACTGGCAGTTTTGCTCGTGCTGTTAATGTCCAAGACAGTAATAAAGTACTAACACATACACTGAGGACATAATGCATAAGAATGCAGATCAGTCATCCATGCTATTACAGAAGCAATATGAATGACTAAGGAAAATTTTACACTATATTCCTTACACACATAGAAATAGTTTACATTAGAAACAAATAGACACCTGGAAACGTTTTTCCCCGCCCCTCAACAACTTAAAGAGTAACTGGTTGGGTTTTCTCTAGCATTTACTGTTAAAACAATGCCTGAATGAAATTATTCATGGACCTTTTCCTATAAACCCAGATACCTCTTCTGCCTTTAAAACAATGCAACACATTTCAGTTTTTTTAGAATGAATAACCACAGAGAACAGTTCTCAGCTCCTTGCTGAAGATATCCTGATTTCATTGTAATCTTATTTTCTAATTCCATTCTTAACTTTCATCTCCTTACACATTTCACACTGCTTGACATGCAGGCTGCAAATTCTTTTGGACATGCATTTTCGTTGTTGCCTTCCAATATATTTCAGGGATTTACGGGGCTGTGCTGAAGTTTAAATGAGAAAGATAGTAAAAATATGAAATAATTATAAAGTAATGCTGAAAGGGTACTGTGACATTCAGGAAAGAAAGGACAGATTATACTGCATTGTTGTTTTCTCCTTTAGGTTATATCCTCTCTTTGTTCATGCAGAAGGAAACTACTCCAAGATAGAGGAAGAACAACACATATTTCTCCCACCCATTTATCTAGGACATTTGGTGATATGACATTGAAAGTTTGTAAGTGATCACAGTGTATCTCCAAAATAAGGCACAGTCAGTCAATCCAACCATGGGAAGATGAAGGCCTGTAGCTAGAATCTAGCAGTCCCTCTAGATCCCTTTCCAGCTTCTGATCTCAAAATATTGTCAAAATATCTCAAAAAAGGAACCCACTCAGCAGAAATTATAAGTTGCAATGCACAAGTTAATTTTCTTGGGCCAAGTCGAATAGATACAGTTAACTAAATGAGCAGTTCCCTATACAGTAGTTTATCTAATAATATAGAATGGTCAAGGACCAGGTCAGTGTTTGTAGTGAAGCTGACTGCACTGTTTGCATTTGAGAATATTTGCAGTCCTCTCTGAGGACTTTCAGTTGCATGAAAGAGAAAGCAACTAAGATTAAAAAGACAATTTTCAGAGGCTCTTATGTGAAATTTTCACTGCTTTCGTTTCATCAAAAAAAGATAAATATCCTACTGATTCCTATCATAAAATACTCTGGCTGAGAGTTAATGGAGTTTACAAGACATTAAAACCATTGATTTGGTCTGTCTGGGGAGAGTGGGAAGGATGGAACGAGGGAGTGTGGAGCAGGGATGTTTTGTTTCTTGGCTAACAGTACCATTGAGAACAAATACACCTGAGCTTCCAACTAATTACTCTCTTCTCTTAAAGAAATGAAGCTTTACCTGATTCAAAATTTAATTTAAAGAAACCATTCTTGTATTCTTATGTAATAAGTTAATTACAGTTGTAAATCAGCATGCGTATTCTCTTTTTAAAGGGATATGAATATTTAATGACAAAAGCTATTTTATTCTTTGAATTTTGGTAATAAGATCTCACAGTCTACTGACTCATAAAACGTAAATGCTCATTGAGGAAGATCTCATCTTTACAGTTATCTGAGTATAACTCCCATTTGCACACTGGGATTTAAAATCCATCAGAAATCCATCAGATAGCTTATCCTTCAAAGCACTTCAGTCTGTTTCAACACTTGAAAAGAGACTACCTGAGTAAATGGTCCAATTACATCTTGTGCAACAGTTCATGCATTTCTGAATTTCAAATATGGATGAGATTTCTGCTCCAGCTATTTACTTTCCATTGTAAGGAGGCTCTTTGGGCTCTCTTCTGATACTTCAATACCCAGAATCTCCTGACTGAGGTTCTTACAAGCTACTACAATTACATGCTATATTAAAAATAAGAGGTGGAAATAATTGATATATGTTCCACCCAGTATTAAATATTCATTGGTTAATAGCATTTATAATAATTAAAAAAAAAGATTTTTCATCTCAGCAAACTGTGCAGAATGATGGTGACATAAAAACATATCACCCTGTTAATGGTGAGACATACAAATTGCTCTGCTTGTTTCACACTTAATAACTGCAAGAACTTCTTGTGCTATTCTCTTTTGGTATGCCTATCAAAAAACCCCACTTTACCAAACACTGTCACAGATAACTCTCCTTTCTTCCAGAAATGTGAAAGATTAGTAACTGAGACATCCGTTGCTATTCTTTTATAGGATCACTCTGACCTCCCTGAAAACAGGCATCTCGGCTGGGAGGAAAATTCATCCCAGAACTGTAGGGGTAGCAACAGTCACTGAAAGCCACAACCATCTTGAATGCAATACCATCCAGGGGTAAAGACAAGGACAGCCAGATCCAGTATGTAGATCCAAAACCAGAAGTTTGCTTCCATTCTCAAGCTAGAAATAACAATGCTGTTCTTGCACCAGCTTCTCTCTGCTTTCTGTAATCAGCTAATACCTTGAACCAAAATTTTCCTGTTATCACAATAGCACAATGTTTGTAGAACCCATGTTCCTGAGCATCCAAACCACCAGCTCCTCTCTTCTTCTACTGTTGATTCTGCACTGGCCAAAAAAAAGGCTCTCCTCTTCCAGTATGTAGAAATGATTTGAAATGCAAGTCTCAAAACCAGATTTTTTTTGAGAGAGGGTTTTCAGGAACGTATGATAACATTATTGGCCAAAATTTTCAGAAGTCCAGCAACTTCAGACATCCATCTTGAAATATTTTTAAAACATGGCAGCTGATTTTCACAACAAAACGACTAAGAACATCCTTGATTCCCAAGCACCAGCCTTCCCAGCCGCACCCACTCCCCCTGCCCCCATGTGCCTGAACTGGCACTGAAAAGCATTAGAAAAATCAAACCTCATTTAACACTTCTAATTCAAAACAGAATTGTTTAGAGCATTAGAGAGATCAAAGATCACAGAGATTACATTTTCTTTTCAATGTTGTTGAAAATAAAGTTGATTACAAAAGTTGCAAATACTTTCACAAAGAGTCTCCATGTCTCTGTTAACCTCTTAGAAGCTATTCCCACTCAAACATGCAAAAAGAAATTCAAGCCTATCTGAAAAATCCAGTTTAAAATTAAATTTTTCTATGTTAAATATAAATATCTGTAAAAATATAGTAAGAAATGTGTTTACTATGGAAGGTTTTTAGAATATTAGTATAGTCTTTGGTATCACTTTGACACCAACACTTTCTTCCACAAAGTATTTCGCTACTCTGCTCTGGTGAGACCACCCCTGCTGTGCTGCCTCCAGCCCTGGAGCCCTCAGCAAAGGAAAGACCTGGACCTGTTGGAGCGGGTCCAGAGGCGGCCACAAAAATTATCAGGGGGGTGGAATGCCTCTCCTATGGGGAAAGGCT